AACCCTAAACCCTATAAGCCTACAACCCCCAAAAAGGCCCCCAAAAAGGCGCCTCCAGGCGGAGCCAGGCCGGAGGAGGCTCGGCCTCCGGGGGCGGACCTTTGGCCTCCCAGAGCTCTACAAGGCGAGCGCACCTGCGGTTTAGGGTTTAGGGTTTAGGGTTTAGGGTTTAGGGCTTTAGGGCTTTAGGGCTTTAGTGTCGGGACCCTTTATAGTCTATTTATAATAAGGAACCTTCAAAAAGGACTTCCATTTAGGGATTATAGGGTTTAGGGTTTAGGGTTCTAGGGTTTAGGGTTTTAGGGTTAAGGGTTTTAGGGACTTGGGTTTAGAAAGGAACCTTCAAAAAGGGCTTCCATTTAGAGATTATAGGGTTTAGGGTTTAGGGTTTTAGGGTTTAAGGTTTAGGGTTTTAGGGACTTGGGTTTAGGAAGGAACCTTCAAAAGGGCTTCCATCTAGAGATTATAGTATTTAGGGTTTAGGGCTTTAGCATTGAGGGTTTTAGGGGCTTGGGTTTAGGAAGGAAGTTTCAAAAAGGGCTTCATTTAGAGATTATAGTGTTTGGGGTTTATGTAGGGCTTTGGGGTTTTGGGTTTAGGGTTCGGGGCTTAGGGTTTAAGAGGGTTTTGTGTCAGAAAGTCCTGATCATATTCAACAGGCGGAGGTAGCGGTTCTATAAAAGTCTTGGGGCTTGGGTTTACAGACGTAGAGGGTTTTGAACTATGCGGATCTTGAGAAGCTTTGGAAGCTTTATAACGGGGGTTTATCGGCCTTTGCAAAGGCCCGGATGTGGAGTTTGTTTGCCCTCTAAACCCTAAACCTAAACCCTAGACCCTAAACCCTAAACCCCCTAAACCCTAAACCCCAAACCCCACTGGAATGTCTTCAGAGTCTTCTTCAACCCTACATCCAGACTGCCACCGGACACACTGAAACCCAAGAGCCTTATAAACCCTACACCCTAAGCCCGAAGCCCTCAACCCTAAACCCTAAACCCAAGACAATAAACCCTAAATCCCGAAACCCTAAACAATAAACCCTAAATCCAAAACCTTAAACCATAAACCCTAAACCCTAAACAATAAACCCTAAATCCAAAACCCTAAGCCTTAAGGCCCTAAGTCCTAAACCCTAAATCCTGAAACCTAAACCCTGAACCCTCCTCCAAGGCTTGTCGCTTGGGGAAGCCCCGGAGATGGTGGGGACTGTGCCGCAGCGCGGCCCTTGCTGCCACTCAACTTCATAGGACCATGGGGCTTTGTCCTTTAGGGTTTAGGGTTGAGGGTTTATAGTTTAGGATTTAGGGTTTAGGATTTAGGGTTTAGGATTTAGGGTTCAGGATTTAGGGTTCAGGATTTAGGGTTTAAGATTTAGGGTTAGGGTTTAGGGTTTTTTTTTTAGGGTTTAGGGTTTGGGATTGTTGAGTCTAGAGGTTTCGGGAATTATTTATAGCGGTAAGGAGCTACGGGGGTGTTTTGGTCCAGTTCCGGTTCAGGCTCGGAGGTTTCAGTTTCCGTCACCCTTTTTTATGAACCCTAAACCCTAAACCCTAAACAGTTTCCGTCACCAGTTTTTGATGCAGAGGGCTCGGGGTTTGGCTGTGATTCTCCTTTTGAACCTCTCCTGCCGCCGAGATGTCAAGAAGGGCTCCCAGACCCCCAAAAGGATCTAAAAAATAGATCCCCTAATTAGGGGCCCTAACTACTAAAGGGTACTTTATAGGAACCCCCTAAGGGGATCAATTTTTTTAGATCCTTTTGGGGGGTCTGGGTCTGAAGAAGACAGGCATCTCGTTTATAGTTAGAGTAGTCCCTGTACATATGGGAGTTTCAGAAAATTAGGGTACCTTATTTTGGGGTCCTTATAATAGGGATCCGATTATTTGGGGTACTATATTAGGGTCCCCGATTTTCGGAAACCCCCATATAGTTGCAGAAGACGATCCCCCAAAGCCATATTCTAATTGAGGGCTCCCCCCCCATGTAATGCTGCGCAGTCGGCCCTTTACCTACCTTCAGGGAGGAGTGAGAGAAGATGGGATTCCTTTACCCAGCCGCCTTAAAGCCTACACTCCACAGCCCGAACACAGTATTTCCTGATGATTAGCTGATTAGCTACGGTATTGGAGGTTTAACAAAGATAGACCGGAGAGGGTGGGCCTTGTATTCAGTGGTCATTTTCGCATAAGATCAATAATGCTATTACCATAAGGGTCCAAGTACCTGACAATCATATACTCTCCCAAATATTATCTTAGATAACTATTCTCGGCAACCAAAGCCTTATTATTGGTCCCTTCAGAACTTCAAACCCCTGTAAACACTTAGACTTTATGGCAGCCTTCTAGAACCCTTATGGGTTAAGACTCTTATGGTAGACCCCTTATAGAGCCCGTATAAGCGTAAACACTAAACCCTAATTACTGGGTGCTTTGGCCACTCAGGGTCAGGGTTCTGTGGGTTTTGGGGGTTTTGGGGTTGGGGTTTAGGGGTTTTGGGGTACAGGGTTTTGGGGTTTCGGGGTTTTGGGATTAAGGCTTGAGGGTTCAGCGGTTTAGGATTTTAAGGTGTACAAAAACTCGCAATGAAGACAATTCCCTGGAAGACAACACGGGGACCCCGAAGCCTTGAACCCAGAGCCGTTCCAGTATTGGGGAGTTGTATTTGCAGCCTCGTGCCGACGTCGCAATAGGTACTCTTCAAACACTGTCCCAGTCCCTATAGATCCCTACAGTCTCCATTGTAGTTCCCTTTTCGGGATTACCATTTAAGCCTTAAGACCCAATTCAATATTGGTTAAGACGACAAAAAGCAGGTACAATGGATACTATATGTCTTGGGGACCCTAAACCCTCAAACCTTTGCAAACTAAACCCTAAGCCCTAAACCTTTGCAACCTGAACCCTGAGCCCTAAACAAGTGGAGGCTCAGTGTTGGGGTTTTTTTGCACTCAGGACTGCTGGTGTTCGCCACATCTACGCCACCGACGGCTCCTTTATGGCCTTCACTGCCGAAGATGCAGGTGATTGGAGTTTTGATGTTTAGGGTTTAGGATTTAGGGTTTAAGGGTTTTGGGATCTGTTTGGGGTTTAGGGCTTTGACATCATGCACACTGGAGTAACACCCCCAGAATTGCGAGAACGGGCCTGGCTACTTCATCCTGCCAGCTGGAATCTCTCGGTTACGGTAAGTAAGGCCCCAAACCCTAAACCCTAAACCCTGAACCCGAAGCCCCAAACCCTAAACCCCAAACCAAGCCTGCCAGCTGGAAGCTTTCGGTTTTTGGGGTTCTTTTGCCCCTAAACCCTAAACCCTAAACCCTAAACCCTAAACCCTAAACTTTGTTTTATCGGAAACCCACAGGTTCCTGAGAGCGAGAAGCAGTTCGGGGCTTCCCGGTGCTTGTGAGAGTTGCGCGGCTCCCCTGTGAAATGCACAGTCATTAATGTAGGGGTTTGCATGAATGATTAGCAGAGGGTTTTGGGGTATACTATATTATAATTATGCTAAGGAACACCAAAGTAGTAAAGGTAATTATTAAGGCCCCTATAGTAGGATCCCCTTTCTTCGATCCGCCTGACTCACGAGCCGTGCTGAAGTGCATGTAGCCAAAGCACGGCTATGTGCCTGCGCTAGCACAGTGCCAGCCATCATCGTTATTCCGTTATTCACAATGTCAACAAGCTCAGAAGCAGCTACATCGCCCTTGTCCGTAAATCCGCAGACTTAAGCCGGTCAAAGGCTTGAAAGATCCAAAGAAGAGAGTCTTGGGTTTGGCGTAATTGCCTAGCCTTGGCAACCTGTATCCAACAAACGGAACTACGATTGAATCTTCAAGCCCGAGAAACCACCGAAACACCGTCCTGACACACATGCTAAAATATGCCTGTATTTTTACATATATGCATGTATATGCAGATGTACTCATGTCTGTGTGTTACATCTACGAATACTGATGTCCCGCCATTCTCGCCGTGAGGAGTGGCCTGGGGGGATGTCGGCCTGCGGCAGCATCCAGAGCCCGAAGCGTTTGAGCCGATGGCAAACGAGCAAAAACACATGGGTGGTTGTCAAAATTATGGTCCCCTTTTGGATCCTTATTATAATACGGCACCTATTATTTAGGGTACCTCGAAAGGGACCATAGTTTTGACAACTACCCACATACTCTGCTGTCCTGTTTGGCTTAGGATACAGGTTTTGCAGTACGGAGTTTGCAGTTTCGAGATGTAGTGCCTAGGCTTTTTGTTTATTGGAGTTTACCTGGCCCCAGTATCATGCAGAACAAAGGCAATTTTAGCTGTCTGGCCAGTATTATTTTGCTTATCTTGGGGGTGTAAGTAAAGCTTAGGTCTCTCCGGAGGCACCGAGCTGTCGAGGCCCGCTGGAGTCGAATGCTTCAGGCCAAGAAGACGATCTTATTAAGGGGGTATAGGATTTAGGGGTCTACAGGTCATTGGGTGCTTTGACCCTAACCCTTCAGGTACCTACTATATAGGGTACTAGAGCCCCTAGGACTCGATGTAGTAGATACCTGGAGGGTTAGGGTGAGGGTTTAGGATTTAGGCTTTATAGGGGTTTACTTAGGGTTTAAGGTTGTTGCCGTAAGTGCGGGCGGATTCCTTGCTCGTCTCTCCGCAGCCTGGCACGAGGCTATAGGTCGCAGGGCCGCAGGGTTTCCGGAGCCGTGACAAACTTGCCAAGTCAATCTCTACAAAAAGCGCCACGGGTTTCATACGGTTGATGTTATCTACCCTGCATTACCTCAAGGACCCTAAACTTATGGGAATTAGGGTATATTCCTCATTATGGGTACTGCAGTATATATATATATATATATATATCATCATCATCATCATCATCATCATCAACCGTATGACGCCGGAGACGGCCTAACCACAAACTGATACCGTAAACCCTATACCCTAAACTTAAACGGCAGACCTGGACCTTAGAGCCTCAACCGTTGCAATCCATAAACCTGGTTTAAAAGAGTAAACCCGGCCCTCTAATTAGCCGCTTCTGCCACAAGGTACCATAAGAGGGTTCGGGGTTTAGGGTTGTTCGTCGGACTTGCGGGATGTTCTGAACTCGACAATTATTTTTTACACCCGTAAAGCCTGAACACCCGACGCCCGAGTTCCGAATTTGCTCTTCTGCAATGGGCCAATTCGGCCGGGCACAACCGGCGCATGACGCGATGGACCAGATCGTGTTGGAAGCCTTGGCTGTATGTGTTGCGCATTTGAGAGGTTGGCTTCTAAACCCTAAACTCCTAAACCCGAAACCCCAAACCCTAAACCCTATAGACTCCTAAACTGGATATAACATAAACCGTTTCGGATTATGGGCTGGTGCAAAGTTGTCAGGTTCGATGCTGAGGCTGATGCAAGGCAGCTAGTGCGCGAGCAGCTCCACCGTGAAGCCTAAACCCTAACTGCTAAACCGAGCCTGACCCTAACCCTCCAGGTGCCTGCTAGAAAGGGCCCTAGGGGCTCTAGTACCCTATATAGTAGGTGCCTGGGGGGTTAGGGTAATATAGAAGCCTAAATAACGACCATGATCGTATTTTGGTGGTTCCTTATTATATATTATAATACACACCCCCAAAACCCTATTCTAATTATTAATGCCCCTACATTAACATATCAACATCATGAGGTTCTTTTTGTTTGACGCGCTTCCGGCGTCTATCCCGACAGACAACAGCTTGCGATAGAAGCCTCCAGAATGATCTGAGTTACTCTCCTGATCGCAAACTCCTTCATTTTGGCCATGTCATAAGCAGATATCAACAAGATTAGTCTACTTCTGGAAGCCAACATGCTGAACGATGATATTCCTAAACTTAGGTTAGAACACCCCGAGCTGGCACTCATCTTTTATGCGTATAAATGGCAACGTCGTTGCAATATGAAGCTAGTTTCTAAATCAGGGTGTCCTTTTTATAAGAGTGTCGTAGGATTTGGGGGACCTAACCGAGCATTCGGGTTTATAATCAGAACCTACAGAAAAGTAGGATTTGCTAGTAGGGCTTTAAGCCTCAGAGCCCTAAACCCTAAACCCTAAACCCTAAAACCTTACCCTGATGTCGTTCACTCAGGACGAGTCGGACGATGGCGCTGAGGCTGCGATCCCCGGCAGCCCGAACGATGCTCTTGTACAGGCATGCGGTTTAGGGTTTAAGGGTTTTAGGGTTTAGGGTTTTAGGGTTTAGGGTTTATGGTTTAGGGTGTGGGTGTGGCTGTGGGGTTTGGGCTCGGGGCATTGGCACATTAGGGCCTCAGGATTTTGGGGTTTTAGTTCCAGAGTTTAGGATCTAGTATTTCGGTAGTATGGTGGAGGGTGCAGAGCTTGTGGGGTCTGGGGGTTCAGAGTTTCGGGTTCAGGGTTCAGTGTATGGGATGACTCCTCCATTATACTACACATTCAAGGGGTTCTTAGCACTCATTGTTATTGAGGGACGTATCGTGAATGTATCCCCAAGATTGTGTATACCACTTCTTGTTGCGTGAGCAGCCAAGTGCGCTCATCCTCCGTTTTGATAACCTGCACTGCATTGGGATGATTTGCCGTCGTGCCTTGCTGTTGTTGGACATTGAATCTCCGAAATAACACAGTCTGCTTAACACAGTCTGCTTAACCTTGTTCTAAGCCGGGGACGCAACAAAGATCCCAAGCAGGGTAACCAATTAAGATGGACATATCCTTTCAACTTGACTAAACCCTTTCTGCCGGGTTCGAGTAATGAGGAACGTCCCTTAGGGGCACCGTATCTTCGGAAACTCGCAGATGGTCGCTAATTTGTCGACTGAGCTCTACTAGAAACCTACATCTTAAAGGCTCCTTGTCTTGATTTCCGCATATATATATATACACATACAAATATACATATGGTTCAAAAGGCTTTCTTGTTACATGGGGGGTTTAAATATACCGTAAACTCGCAACCCGAAACTGTGAGAACAGCCAAGCGGTCGAGGCGCCTCCCGTACGGTTCGCTTCGAACTGGTGGCGCATGCTAACCTACGCAGGCCTCGGAAAGGAGCTGTGTCTGGTGGCTTCGGTGGAGTTGGGTTTAGGGTTTAGGGTTTAGGGGTGTTTCTGTTCATTTTGGCGGAGGTGATGGTGTGTTTTTGTCGGGGCGTGGGTGGGGTGGGGGGCGGGTTTAGGTTTGGAGGGTTCAGTTCAGAGCCAGGGATTTGGGGATTGAAATGCGCAAGGTCGGTATGGACCTGGCGCCTACGGCTTTCCAATGCCAATGTTGTTTCCAACTTCTGGCTTGTTAGCTCTATTCTTTGTTTTATGATCTCACAGCCAAGAAAGAAGGTAACCAGCAATAGAGTTTAGGTGTTAAAGGGTTTAGGGCTTGGGGGTTTCGGGTTTAGTGGTGTAGGGTTTAGGGGTTTATGCTTTGTTTTATGATCTCACAGCCAAGAAAGACCATAAACCCTAAACCCTAACCCCCTAAGAAGGTAGCCAGCAACAGGATTTATGCGCAAGCGAGCGCCTTGGGAATCCCGGCAGGACGCCAACCACACACCTTCCTCAGATTCCCTGAAAAGAAAAGCACAAGAAACCTCAACAACCTCCGCCACCCCCTTGTAAAACCTTTTCGAAACCCGCTTGTAACAAGCCCGTAGAAGAAGGACAGGAAAAATCAGGTTTGGGGAGGGTTAAAGTTCAGGTCTGGCTGGGTGTTCAGGGTGATACTGGGTGATATTTATCTTAAAACCCTCGAGGTTGAACTTGGAAACCAAACTCTTCTGGTTCGAAGAGCGCTGGATCATTGCCCCAAACCGACGCCCCAGCCTTAACTACATCTTTGGTCCCGGAGCCCTACAGTTTCAATCCCTGCGCACTTGCCAGGTATGACTTGGTATTGCTTTCACTCCTCCCAGCCGGACGAGCGCCACGTGTGCAATAGTTTGATGCTTCGTTTTGGTGTGAAAGTTCTTGCAGGTAACTGCCCAGAGGCTCCAATGTAGATTCTTTTTGGGTTTGTTATGGTTTTTTGGTGAGGAATTATAGTATTCTATCCCAAAAGGAACTACATAGGAGCCCTTGGGTATCTAACCGGTTTAGCATGGTCATCAGGAAGATCGTCCTGGCGCCTGTGACATGATGAGTTGACCGAGGTGGTGGGCGGTGCTATTGAAAAAGTCCGTGTGCCTTGGGTGCAGGAAACTAGTATAGGGGCCTAAATAACTACCTATGCTATTCTGGGGGTTCTTTATTATAGTAATATTATAAATGAGCCCAAAACCATATTCTAATTATTAAGGCCCCTACATAACATGGCCTAAGATCTGCCCCGCACCCCGGTTACTCAGTCTCTGCAGAGAGTCCAAAGACTACTCCTCAAACCCCAACAAGAAACCCTAAAGCCTAAACCCCAAACCCCCAAATTATTCGTGCAAGCTGTATTCCGAACCCTAAACCCTAAACCCTAAACCCTAAACCCCAAACGTTGTTTTCAAGCTGTATTCCGAACCCGAAACCCTAAACCCTAAACCCTAAGCCCTAATGAAGGGGCAGCCCTACACCCTAAACCCTAAGCGGTCTCGGGCCCAAATCGCAGGACGCTGTACCATCCTCCGGCCCAACAGACAAGCCCCCTGTGCCCTTGAAACTTTAAAGGGTTTAGGGTTTTGGGATTGGGTTTTGGGTTTTGGATTATTTAGGGTTTAGGGTTTTGGATTTAGGGTTTTGGGCTTAGGGTTTTGGATTTAGGGTTTTGGATTTAGGGGTTTGGGTTTAGGGTTTTGGGTTTGGGGCTTTGGGTTTAGTGTTTTGGGTTTTGGGTTTAGGGTTTAAAAGTTTAGGGCGTAAAAAACGTTAGGGTTTATGTAGGGGCCTTAGGGTTTTTGGGCTCCTTTATAGTGTACTATAGTGAGCGGGGGGGCTTAAAAGGAGTTATATCGTACTTAGCAAAGATATATTGAGTTAACCGAGGGTTATAAATACATATAGGTCCGGTTATAACTATGAGGTAAGCTTTTGTATTTTGTTGTAAGTTAAGTTAACTTAT